TTATGGCTCATTTCTTGGAGTAAACCAATTATAACATATTGAAATACATTCAGCTGTCTCTTCATTATGATGATAATTTAAGGTGAAATGTAACAGGTTTGGAGCTAAGTTTTATGTGGGTCTGCTCCAACAAGTTTACTATAGTGTTTCATGAAACTTGTACAGGAGTTGACAAATGGCATTCAACTACAGAACACTTAGCGCCAGCTAATTAGTATTTACTTTGGAAAGAATTGGATGACTGTACTACAAATATGATGCTAGCTGTATCCCTTTTTATGTAGAATATTTTCTACTTGTCAAGCCTCTGACCAAACATCTCATTCTTTGTGCCAAAAATGTACATTTGTGGAGGAAATCTAGTTCGCTGTTAGATAACTTGTTAGTTAAATATCCCAGCTGCTAAAACTTAGGACTTCTTCTGTAACCATGTAGCTAGGATGGCAACAACTGAGGTTTTATTGCATTCCACAGTTAACTTTTTCATGGATATGGGCTCACGATCATGATGCATGTTGCTTTGTGTCCATGTGAATATTTTGTGCATTCAAAGATATAGAACGGCTGAAATGTGAGGCACACCGTTAACAGTCATAGTTCTGGGACAATAATGTTTACTATGTTCAGTATGCATGCTAACATTTGTTTCCCAGATGCTATAAAAATATGCACAGACAAAGCCCAGATGAGACGTACAAATGCCATAAGGGAGGGGAACTGATTCTAAGGCCGAGGAAAATGTAAAATCTGTAGCAGATCACAAGAATCAACTTCAAGGTGGTACCGAGGTTAAAAAGAGGAGGCTTTGTTTCAAATATCCTCAATCAGTGAGAATAAAAGACTGATATATTTGACATATTTGTATCAAACAATAATCTTTCTCTGCATGGTTAACAGGATGGAATGGTGTTACTGTGGTTATAGCTGTTACCTCACAGCAAGAAAGTCACTGGTTCAAAATCTGGCTGCATCTTTTTGTTGTGGAGTTAACATGTTCTCCTCATGCATTTGTGGGTTTCCTCCAGGTACTCTGGTTTCCTCCCAAAAACATGCGTGCTAGATTATTCATAATTAGATTGTCACAGAGTGGGATTATTGGAATATTAGAAAGGGTTATCTGTCTCATTTGTTTCTATGGGGCCCTGCAATGGACTGGTGACCTGTCCTACATGATGATGGGGGATGGCCACCAGCTCCCAAGAACCTGTATGGAAAATGTCAGAGTCAGTCCGAGTTAGTGTCTGTCTCTGTTTACCATCTATACTTTCACACACAGTTCAGGTACATAGGAATGTCTGTGCAGCGTTTGTAAGTCAGCTATAACATTAAAAACAACACTATACATTTACAATAAAGCTATGGGAACATAATTTAGCAATGAAGGGACTTTAGAGAATACATAGGACAAAAAATAGCAGCACTGTTTACTGTACTTCAGAAATGTAGCAGCAGTTTAACTAACTTAAATTTAACTTTATAAACTTTATTGTCATTCAAAATTGTACAATGCACCATGTAAAATTAAACAAAAGTTTGTTTCATTTCTCCACAGCAGTATAGGAGTACATAATTTACATTAATTTTATAGACTGGTGTTTAGAGCAGAATATGAAATTCTTGTGTGGATACAAGTAATGTTCAAATGTTAGCAAATGTTCCTACATAAACCTAGACATAGAATACATGCATGAACACATACACTGCCTGGCCAAAAAAAAAGTAGCCACCTGGATTTAACTAAGCAAATAGGTACGAGCCTCCTGTTGGATAATTACCGCATGGACGATTATCTTTCAGCTGGCAACAAGTCATTTAACCCCAACTGGTGCAATGAGTTGCTTCTCATTTCTTAAACAACCACATTGAAGACACATCGCATGGTCGTGGAAAAGATGTCCATCTGTTTGAGAAGGGTCAAATCATTGGCATCAAGCAGAGAAAACATCTAAGGAGATTGCATAAACTACTAAAATTGGGTTAAGAACTGCCCAACTCATTATTAAAAACTGGAAGGATAGTGGGGACCCATTGTCTTCCAGGAAGAAATGTGACTGGAAAAAAATCCTGACTGATGGTGATCGGCGATCACTTAAACGTTTGGTGAAATCAAATTGAAGAAAAACAACATTAACACTCAGGGTTATGTTTAATAGTGAAAGTAAGAACATTTCCACACGCACAATGTGAAGGGAACTCAAGAGACTGGGACTGAACAGCTGTGTAGCCTCAAGAAAACCACTAATCAGTGAGGCTAACCGGAAATAGAGGTTTTTATTTGCTAGGGAGCATAAAGATTGGACTCTGGAGCAATGGAAGAAGGTCATGTGGCCTGATGAGTCCAGATTTACCCTGTTCCAGAGAGATGGGTGCATCAGGGTAAGAAAAGAGGCAGGTGAAGTGATGCACCCATCATGCCTAATGCCTAGTCATCAATGCAAGAACTTGGTGAAAATTTAATGCAACACTGGATGGAAATAGATCTTGTGACATTGCAGAAGCTTGTCAAAACAATACCACAGTGAATGCATGCTGTAATCAAAGCAAAAGGTGGTCCAACAAAGTATTAGTGTGTGACCTTTTTTTTGGTGGCAACTTTTTTTTTGGCCAGGCAGTGTGTATACGTACATACACAATACACACAGCATCCTTTGAGAACATAGCAGCTTAGAGATATGGCAGCAAGTGGATATAGCACTTGAGAATATGTTTGAAAATACAAATATTGTCCACTGGTGTTCATTTTATTTCATTATAGAATTCAGGCAGCACAGTGGTGCAGTTGGTAGAGCTGCTGCCTCTCAGCGAGCAGGTTGCCCTAGTTCAAATCCCGGCCAGGGGCCTTTCTGGGTGGAGTTTAAATGTTCTCTCTGTACCTGGGTGGGTTTTCTCCTGGTACTCCAGTTTCCTCCCACAGATCAATAAAATGCATGTTAGGCTGATTGGTAACTCTAAATTGTCCCTAGGTGTGAGTGAGAGAGTGGATAGTTGTTTGTCTCATTTGTCTCTATGTGTTCCTGCGATGGACTGGAGACCTGTCCAGGGTGTATCCCGCCTCTCGCACAGTGATGGCTGGACATGTACCAGTGACCTTCTTGACCCGAAAAGGAAAAAGCGGGTAAAGATAATGGATGAATGGATGGATGGATGGATGGATGGATGGATGGATGGATGGATGGATGGATGGATGGATGGATGGATGGATGGATGGATGGATGGATGGATGGATATACAGAGTTCAGATATGCCATCAGTCTGACAGTAGCAGGGATAAAGTTGTTATAGAATCTGCTCTCGTGTGTGATGCTGTCTGATCTGCTTTTCTTTAAATTGTCTTTTGTGTGTCTGTGTTTAAAGAGAAAGTAGGCAGGATGGAGTGCGTCCTTGATGTGTGTGGCTTGATATTTACAGTGTTGTGTATATATTGAGTCTATGGCTGGAATGTTAGTTGTTTTGATGACTCTGGAGAGCATTTCTGTCCACTTGTTTAGTGTTGCCATACCAAAAAAAAAAAAAAAAAATGCCAGTGGTGATGATGCTCTCCACCAGTCCCCTGTAGGACAGCATGAGAGGTTGATGGCCCTGTCCAGCCTTCTTAAACAGGCTGATGAAGTGCAGTCACTTTTCAGCCTTTCACACCATGACTGTAGTATTCACTGACCAATAGATGGATAGTTTACAAGTTGTCATTTGTATCAGTGGTTTGGAAGGTGCAAAATAAAGCAGTGCAGAATAGTATCCATGAGACAATAATGAAGCAGATGTGCAAAGGGTACAAAAATGTGTCCAGAAAGCATCACACTCTATGTGTCTTCAAAATACACCTTGGGTATTAACTGCTGTTTGAAACCTCCTGTATAATTCATTATTTTTGTTTAATTTTGGCAATTATGGCTGAGGACTTGGATGTGTGCTTTTCTGTTATAATCTATTTTAGTTGGCCTACAGTGATGACTTTTACAAATTGGGCTTGGTCCACTTTCAACAAACTGTAAAACAGTAAGATTTAATAACTTTGCAATACAAGCAAATTTGTGCATGTCTGAGCAGTGTCAGACTCCCTTGATAGGAACGTTTCAAAGACTGCTGTTGGACATTGGTTACAGCATTGTCCCACAATGGACAAGTACTTTGTACAACACCAAGAAACAAAGCTGTAATGGTAAGAGTAAAACAGTATTAAACTAGTAATATTTTCAGTAGTATATGACAGGTTTTTGTTCAAACAGTCCAAACAGCAGGATTAGAAATAACAAAAAAAGCAGAGTGGATTGAAAAGAAGTCAGTTTAAGGTCAAGTGAGCTGTGTAGGTTTCTGTTGCTGGTTTGAGGTGGTGGGGGGTAAAATAGTTGAAAGTAAAAGCCTGATGATTTGCTCAGTGTGGTATCCCCCTGCAATGGTCTGCTGGTGAAGGTTTCTGGGGGGAAAGTGTGCTTTTGACTGCTGTTGACATTAACCCCTGCTGACCCTAATATAAATGCATGAGCACTACTGGCACACGCACCGAACAGCTCTCACTGTGCCTGTTTCTGTTTCATACAATAACTCTACCATGTTGTTGAGGTCAAATACAACTCAGGTGTTTCCATCTGGGTTCAAGATCTATAACCGAGAAAAATAACATGACATTTTTCTGATTTCAAACATTACATTATGAATGCAAACATCACCAGCTTCTGTATTTGTGTGCAAAGAGATGGTTAAAACACCCAGAAAGCTGCAAGGAGCAGAAAAAGCTTGACAGAAGGGCTGCTAACAATACCCATGCATTCAGACTCCAATCGAATCAGTTGATGAGTAAAAGCAAAAATAGTGCTGACAGACTGAGTAAAGATGTTTTATACTTTATGTTGACTAGATCCTTGGAAAACAGAGGAAGAAAAAGTTAGTAAAAGCCATGGAGCAATGTATTTGTGTTGCCTTAAATAACTGGCCACAAAAAAAAAAAAAAGCTTGATTGTATTGAGGTTATGGTAATGAGACAAGTTTGTGCGTGCATTTACCTGAGCGCAGCGTCTGTGGTTGTCACACCAAACCAAAACTTGGTCACTCTGAAAGAGACAAAGAAAGAAAGAAAGAAAGAGAGAAGGATTAAAACAAACACCAACAAAAATTCAGATTTTTACATAAGCTCCCCATGTTTCCCTTTAGATATGACGCTACTGTCTAACATCTGAGCAGACAAAAAGCAAAATATTGTTCGTAAAAGGTCACTGACCAATTTAAACAACCAGAGCATATTATGTCAGATAGTGAAACACGTCTTCAGCATTTCTATTATTTACATAACTATCCTCTGGGTGAAAAAGGGTTCAACACAGTGTGTTTGTGGTGGCAGATCCAGACAGTGATGATGTCACTTGGTGTTACGCATGTTTATGTGTGTGGGTGTGTGGGTGTGTGTGTGTGTGAACTGGTAAGGCCACCAGTAAGCCTGGCTGCTACTATGACAGAAAGAGACATCATATCAAAACCACACAGACAGAATCGCAAATCACAACAAATTCTCTGAAGTCTCCTTATTTTATTTAAACTCATTAAACAAAGTTATACTATATATGATTGCGTAACAGTATACAGAAGATTCTAATGTATACACTGACAAATTGTGTAAAATTAGCAACATAAAATGCACAAAATGGTTCTAACGAAATTGGATAATTGTAATTTACAAGCGCATTTTCACTCGATGTGCGACGTGCTCCAAAACAGGAAGAACTCCAAGAAATAGTCTGAAAGCACTTTAATTACAGGCATAGATGACTATACAGTCTGGATGATTGAACAAAACGCAAGAAGTCACTTTTATTGCAAATGTCACAAAACATTAAAAATAAGATAAACTACAATAAAGCAGATAAGATAAAAGTATGCAGTCAAAATTGTATGTAAAGAACAAACCTCTACAACTTTTTCTTGTGTCACGTCCTCAGCAGCAACACTAACTGCACTGCAGTGAATGTTGAACATCTCAACCATTATTTTGATGTCACACCTTGCTCATGTCATGACCAATAGCTGGTTATAATCTCACCTTTTTATCTACTATTGACTGCAGATGTAGACCCTGCAGCTTTTTTCTCTGAAGATCTTCCTGCATTGTGTAAAGTCCCAGAGCAGACTCATTTTAGTTTATTAAACTCATATTTCTCCAAGAGAACTTCTTGGATTTTGTTTAGTTTTGTCTCTTCAAGTGCTCAGCTGTAGGATTTAGTCCTAGCCTCATTCTGTTCTTTGTTTATGTGTTGCCTTTTGGCTGATCTATTCAAAACCATAGCATGGCTTATATACATAACCATTTTATACAGATGATACTCACTTGTGCATGCAAAATAAAATCTGCTGATTTTATTTAAAAATCGTCCTCCTGTAAAGGTTCAAAAATCCTTGTCATATTTTCATTACGGTAGATATATGATTTTGATTTAACAATTTTATGTGATTGTGACTCTGGAACCTGTTCTCAAATTGTGCCGTTGTCAGAGAAAACATTCAATATTTTCGTGTAAATGAACAGTACAAACACAATGAAACTCTTCCATTTTCACCAGAAATGGTTTTCGTGTAAACAGGGCCTAAGAGAGAGCAGCTCTTTATTTCTGAACGATGTGGCCTTAGAGGAAGAACATTCACAGTGGTGGCAGGTTTTGAGAGCTATTTGCAGACAATTTGTGCTATTCTAAGATATGAGTTCCTTCTTTTTGACCACCACTGCAGTGGGCACTCATCCATGTCAATTCTGGATCCTGATTTGTCGCGGTCCAGTGTAGGCTGAATGGACTCTGCCTCATCGTCTGTGTCTGAATCAGATGGTGCAATCAAGAAGATGGACATCTTCCTCTTCTTCGGTGGTGCTCCCCCTGTTGTTTGAGCATCTTGGATCTGGGCATTTTTACCCTCTTTGAGCAAGTTGTTAAAAGAACTCCACACTTTGCCTCTCTCAGGGTTAGGCAGGCTTTTTAAGTTGCTGAACCTGGGATCAAGTGCAGCAGCATTGTTGAGCCAAGTAAAAATGGAGTTCTCCTTTCGTTGAGCCAGGTCTTCACAAAAAGCCCTTTTGAATCGCACTATGTTGATAGTATCATTATCTGAAGGCTCCATGACTCTGAACAGGTGGCAAAATGCAGGCGACACCACAGAACAGGAGATGCGTTGTCCACCCAGAGTTTCAGTGACATACCTGTGAAAACACGTAAATTAATAACAACTGATTTATTAGATCACCTGTCAACAAAAATAGTCTTATTCCTGTTTTACTTCTAAAATATGCAGAAAAACACACAATTGGTTTGCCTATTTTTTTTACACTGCTTAACTGACCCATTGACTTTATTAATATCAACTCAACTAATATAATAAAAGGAAACAGGATAAAAAAAAAGTACCTGCATGACTCAAGCTCCTCCAACTTCTTCAGCTTTCCAAGCTCAGGGTCTGTAAGCAGGGGAAACTGTTCTGTAGTGCTGTTGTTTGCTCCCTCTGACGTCGCTGCCACATCGGGATGTTTCGCCTTCAGGTGATATGTAAGCAATGAACTGCTTCAGTGATTAAATCCACCTTTGCAAAGCACGCAAATTGCTTCGGTTTTGTCCAAAGCACCATCTGGCAACAACTTAAAGCAAAATTGTCCATTTAATAGCGTATCTTCCTTTTTATCCATCGCTAGCTTTAATGAGCAAAACGGCAGTGAGGTACGGCAACACCGAGAGGGGGCGTTTTCAAATTAATGGTTGCGCTAATTTATTTTAGCACATTAAACAAAAAAAAAAAACTCAAATAGTCAACGCGATAATTTCAACAGCCCTAGTTAAAACAAATAACAGTAGATTCACTATAAAATGCCCTTGAACTCCAATACATTTATTCTATGGCTAATACTCCTACTGCTCTATCTGAGCATTTTTTTGAGCAAAAATTATCACTAAAATCCCAGCCTGCTATTTTTAACTTCCTGTGTTGAGACAGCCAGTCTGTGATGCAATACCAGCCATTCTCTCTGAATTGCTTTGTCTTTTTCAGCGCATTCATGAAGCCATTATGCACAATCAAAACAACTATTACAATCCTTTTGAGAACACATCCGTGTACCTGCCTGTTGTCATGTGTGCGCCTTCGGAGTTAGAAGTCTCCAGTGAGTGTGTGCACGTGTGAGTGTTGGATAAGCTGCCTTAACGACTCTTAAACCCTCTCCTGGGTGAGCTGTATTTAGCCTCACCCAAGCACATCTTTTTCCACACATGAAGATCCACACCCTCACACCTTTTTCATTTTTTTATTCATTTTTTTAATTTTTATTTTTAACAAGCCTTCATGCTTGCTGTATGATGGGGATTATGGTTTAGACTTTGGGTAGCAGGTTTCGGGTAAAGGTTAAGTGATTTCACAGCACAGAAAATGCTGAATTGACTCTTTCATTCACAGCATTCAACATAAATGAAATTAGTGATGAAAATGCTGTAGCTAAGTTAAATGTTGTTTGAAAGGTAATATATGCAGTCTCCTAAGACTTATAGTGACAAATTTACTGTATATAGTCCAGCCGAGGAATGTCTGTGACGTTTAAGTAGGAATTAAGCCTATACTGACATACTTTGTTCAGACAGGACAGTCACTAAAGCCACTTTCTAATTGTAAATCTAGGGAATAATCTCATTTCAGATTTTACCTTTAAATTTCCAAAAAAGCAACTATGAACGCATCTGTACAATTGCTGACAGCAAAAAGCGTGGTCGGCTCTAAGTATGCTGCTAAAACAAAGATTTGGAGAAGACTTTACAGATTTCTACAACAACAAAAAAAAAAAATCAAAAACCGACATCAATAAAATCCAGACCATTAGACATTATCTTGGGGAAAATCCAAAGGTGATATAAATTATATAAATAAGCTACTGTTTTCAAAATTACACTAGTAGAAATGGTGCAGACACCTTTGGCCTATCAGTAATTATGCAACTTCTTACAGGGGCTAAAGTTCAGACAATGGCTGAACCAGCCTCCTGAAGAAACTGAAGAGAGAAAAGGAAGGAAAAAGCTGTAGAGCAGTAAAGCAGCAGCTTTATCCCTGGTGAATTGATTAGTGCTACAGAGAGGGATGCAAGGAAGGAGAGGAAAATAAGAGAAATGTAAAAGCCTGTGTTATTGTTTCATGGCGGACAAAAATCCCGTTTCCCTGTTCTTTGGAAGGGAAATGTCTTTGATAAAAACTTATGGTGTACGGCACAGTATCCAAAATAATCCAGGTGTATTTGAAACATGTGTCACAATAAATTTAGAAGAACAGAGTACCTCATCCACACAGAACCAGGGGTTTTCCAAAATAAACATTTCATTTTGTCATACAGTACCGGCATACAGTACAGTACCCAGTACTGGGGCGACTGTGGTTAGAGCAGTTGTCCTCCAATGCGAGAGTTGGGGGTTCAATTCCACCAGCAGTCACATACGTGTCCCTGGGCAAGACACTGAACCCCTCATTGCCTCCGATGTGTGTCCCATCGGTGTATGAATGTGATAAAGCACTGATTATTCTTTGTATAGATCTAGTAGAATGCTGTATGAATGGGTAATGACAGATTGTAGTGTAAAGAGCTTTGAGTATGATCAGATAGAAAAGTGCTATATAAGTACAGTCCATTTACCGTATCTAGGCATGTATGGTACTTGTCCCAAAATGCTGTAGTAGCTGACCTGGGTTTGTATATGGTGCTGTAACGCTGCCACAAAAAAACAGCAAAAACAGGAAACAAGGCAGGAGAATACAGCTTCCACACTGGGTACAAACTAAACAGCAAACCCAAAGTTTTATTCCCTTTACTCAACCATTTCTAGATTGTGGGTCATGTATGAGGCAATTGTTATTGCTCATCCACCTTGTCTGCTAATTGAAGTAATACAGTATATGAAGGTTTTGCTGTAGTTGAGCAACTAGGTTTTGTAGCATCTGCAGCTCAAACACAAGCATGGAATCTGCCATTGTTGCTGCTGTTGTTACGGCTAACATGCTTGGATGAGAGGTGGTGCTACATTTCATCAGGTTGTGATTTGGTTAT